TTAAGGGTCGGAATGACTCGAATGACTTCAAAAAGTTACGGGAACTTTTGAGAGAGATTTGGGAAAGATTTAAAATAGAAAGAGGTATGGTGAAAACGATTGAGAAAGGTTTCGTTTGTGACCTTTTTGAGTGCCCGACTTTGCAATGTGAGGTCCATAAACCGCGTTAAGCCATGTTTTAAGGTCCTACACACTCCCGATGAGTGTGCAATAGTGTTTTATCGCTTTGGTTCAATGTTTAGCATTTTCACGGCTATGGGAATTCAAACATACGAATTTTCCAATGATGTTTTCTCATTACAATAGTGAGTTGTTTAGTAATTGCACAATGTAAACCCTAATATAAAAGGGCTAATTGAGTTGTCCGATTTGACTTGTTGACTTTGTTTGACTTTGACTTGACCCGAAATTGACTATTGTCACATCATCCCCTCATTAGAAGGAATTTTGTCCCAAAATTTGCATTTTGGCTGGGACTTCAAGAGTTCGGGAAGAGATGTGGGTATTTTTGTTTCATTTGATCTTCGCGTTCCCATGTGAACTCAGGTCCCCGTTTAGCGTTCCAGCGGACCCTTGCGATGGGAATACGACTATGTTTCATTCTTTTGATCTCCCGATCCATGATCTCGATTGGTTCCTCCACGAAGTGGAGATTTTCGTTAACTTTGATTTCGTCGAGTGGTATTACGAGTGTCTAGTCAAACAGACACTTCTTTAAGTTCGATACGTGAAATGTGGGATGCACCTTATCGAGTTCTTGAGGTAATCGATGTTTGTATGCCACTGGCCCAATCCTGGCAAGGATTTCGAATGGTCCAATGTACCTTGGATTCAATTTCCCTCATTTTCCGAATCGTATCATTCATTTCCAAGGGGAAACTTTTAGTAGTACCCGGTCATCCACTTGGAATTCCAAGGGTTTGCATCGCTTGTCTGCGTAACTCTTCTGTCGATCACGAGACGCCTTTAGTCTTTCCAAATTTGAACAATCTTTTATGTGGTCTCCCTTATGATTTCAAGACCAGTGAGGGTGCTGTTATGGACTTGCCCCCTAGCCAGCTGGGTATCCCCTACTTCGGCCCAACACATGGGTGATCTGCACTTACAAGAGAGCTTCGAATGGAGCGACTTTAATGCTAGTGTGATAGCTATTATTATAGGAGAATTCGATAAGCGGTAAATGGGTATCCCATGCCTTACCGAAGTCTATCACACAGGCTCTCAACATGTCTTCTAAAGTCTGTATGGTGCGCTCGCTTTTCTCGTCGGTTTGTGGATGGTAGGCCGTACTCATATCTAGCCTAGTTCCCAGAGATTTATGTAGGGACTGCCAAAATCGCAAGGTGAATCTATTATCTCGGTCGGAGATAATGGATATTGGTACACCATGCAGTCGCACAATCTCCTTAATGTACGTTCTGGTTAACTTTTCCATCTTGTCGGTTTCCTTTATTGGTAGGAAGTGCGCAGACTTGGTCAATCTATCTACGATTACCCATATGGTTTCAAGCCCACCCGATGTCTTAGGCAGCTTGGTTATGAAGTCCATGGTTATTCGTTCCCACTTCCACTCAGGTATATCCGGCTGTTGTAGTAGTCCTGATGGCTTCTGATATTCTACCTTAACCTTGGCGCAAGTCAGACACTTGCCCACATAGGTAGCAATCTCGGCTTTCATGTTCGGCCACCAGTACGACTTTTTGAGGTCTAGATACATCTTATCCGAACCTGGATGGATGGAATATCGTGTCTTATGTGCTTCGTTCATGACAACGTCTCGGAACCCACCGAACTTTGGTGTCCAGATCTGATTCATGAGGTACCAGTACAACTTTTTGAGGTCTAGATACATCTTATCCGAACCTGGATGGATGGAATATCGTGTCTTATGTGCTTCGTTCATGAAAACGTCTCAGAATCCACCAAACTTTGGTGTCCAGATCCGATTCATGAGGTAGCGAGCTCCGTCCTTCTTGACTTCTAGGTTTTTATCCATCCCTCTCAATGTCTCACTTGTCACATTTTCTGGTTTCAAGGCTTCGAGTTGAGCCTCCTTGATTTGTGTGAACAGGTGCGAATGGATCGTCATTGTCAATGACTTCACCCGGCGACCCGAATATTCTTTTATGCTTAGGGCATCAGCTACAATATTAGCCTTGCCCGGATGATAGCGGATTTCGCACTCATAATCGTTCACTAGCTTTACCCATCTTCTTTGGCGCATGTTGAGCTCTTTTTGATTGAGGATATGTTGAAGACTCTTGTGATCGGTGAAGATGGTGCACTTTGTGTCGTAGAGGTAGTGTCTCCAAATCTTTAAGGCGAACACTACTGCTCCCAATTCGAGGTTGTGGGTAGTATACTTAACTTTGTGGGTCTTAAGTTGTCTTGATGCGTAAGCGATAACCTTCCCTCTCTGCATGAGCACGCATCTGAGGCCTTGATTTGAAGCATCGCAATATACCACGAAGTCATCCGTTCCTTCTGGAAGAGACAAAATCGGTGCGTTGCATAGGGCTTGTTTTAGTGTTTGGAAGGCGGCTTCTTGTTTATCTTCCCACTTGAACACCACACCCTTCTGAGTCAAAGTGGTAGGGGGTTTAGCAATCTTGGAGAAGTTCTGTATGAACCTTCGGTAGTAGCCTGCGAGTCCCAAAAATTGTCGGATTTCTGTTGGCGTTGCAGGTGCTGACAAATTTTCAATCGCCTTGATTTTTTAGGGATCCACATGTATTCCTTTCTTACCACGTGGCCAAGGAATCCCACTTCTCAGAGCCAAAATTCGCACTTCGAAAACTTAGCATAAAGCTTTTCGGCCCTTAGAGTCTCCAGAACTAGTCGCAGGTGTTGCATGTGCTCTTCTTCGCTCCTCGAATAGACCAAGATATCATCGATGAACACGATCACGGATTTATATAGGAAGGGTCGGCACACTCGGTTCATCAGATCCATGAACACCGGAGACGTGTTTGTTAATCCGAATGACATCACTACGAACTCGTAGTGCCCATAGCGAGTTCTGAATGATGTCTTGGGTATATCTTCTTCTTGAACTCGCAGCTGATGATAACCTGACCTCAAGTCGATTTTTGAAAAATAACTTGTGCCGTGGAGTTGGTCGAAGAGGTCTTCGATTCGGGGTAGGGATATCGGTTCTTGATGGTAAGTTTGTTGAATTCTCGATAATCGATGCACATGCGAAATGATCCGTCCTTCTTCTTTACAAAAAGGACTTGTGCACCCCAGGGTGAAAAGCTCAGTCTAATGAACCCTTTGCTCAACAGTTCATTTAACTGGCTGGACAGTTCTTGCATTTCTTTTGTTGCTAGGCGGTATGGAGCTTTGGCAACGGGGGTAGCTCCGGGAATTAAGTCGATTCGGAATTCAACTTGTCGTGCGAGTGGTACACCTGGCAGGTCTTCTGGGAATACGACGGGGAAGTTGCATACCTCGGGAATGTCTTTGATGTCCTTCACCTCTTGTTTCTTATCTACGACATGGGCTAAGAATGCATGGTATTCCTTTCAGAGGTACTTTTGGGCTTTAACGCAAGAGATGATTTTTAAATTTGCACTGGGTTTATCGCCATAAATGAGAAGGGTTTCACCATTTGGCAGGTTAAGGCGAACGGCTCTTTCATAACATAGAATGTCGGCACGATGAGAGCTTAATCAATCCATACCAATGATGATTTCGAAACTTTTTATGGTGATTGGCATTAGATCGATTTTGAACGAGTGGTCATCTAGAGTGAGGGTACACCTTATGTATATATCATTAGTGCACTCAACCTTTCCGTTTGCCATTTCTACGACATATGAATCTTTTAATGACTGGGGATTTTGTTTTAGTAATTGTTTGAATTGGTGGCTCACGAAACACCTTATGTAATTGTTTTAGTAATTGTTTGACAGTATTAAATCAATACTTACTTCCAAAGGTATGATTGACTGTGACATTTTAAATAAACTAATATTCAAAAAGTAACACACAAAATGAAACACAATAATAAACTAATTGTTCTATGGGATCATACTCTTTGAATATAAACAATTCCCTATTATTTAATCGCCATAACAAGTACAGATTTATTGATTGTAAATGTTTCAGGGTAATAGACTTAACAACTAAACTTGTCAACATTTCTAATGCCAATGCATATCATGTTTTTCTTTGGTGATCACTATTGTGAACTAATCATCGAAAAGATATCCACTTCACAACTAGATCTACATCCTCAACCCTTTTCTTGGATGTAGTGGATTTTCCTCCTTCTATGCATTGACCTTTTGTGACCTCAAGAATCATTAGTCAACATGACCACACTTTCACAAAATATCTCTAATAGCAATTTGTAACTCAAAACAACTCCAAGGTCCACTATGAAGCTTTCTAGTCCGGGTACTGTGAGAACAATAAATATCGATGGATTCTATATTTATGAGACGTAATAAAGATAAGAAACAATAATGATCAAAAGTGTGCCAAATGATTGTATTAAACACAACTCTAAAAGAGTTCTTGAAAATGAAACTTTTGTGTTAGAGCTTCAAAAAGCGTAACCCTAATAAGTTACATGCACGCTATTTATAGAGACCATTTAGATACAAAAATTGAACATGGACAGACCCATATCGGAATAAACAAACCCTAACATCATACGTTTGACACAACACATTATTAGACCTAACAATATACCCCTCTTTGTCAAATCGGAAGGAGAGTCTTCATTGTCGTTTTTTCACGTCAAAAATCTTTGGCATTATCTTCAAACGTGAGCCTCGGACAGATAAGTACCAGTGAATCATATCATAAACGCATTTGATGTCTGCTTTGGAGTTTTCTTTGTTTGCTTCTGCTGAAAAAAGAATTATTTTTAGAGCAGCTGATGAGTAAAGGTGTTTTTCCCGTAGAAAGAACATACCATTCTAAACTACTTCGCCTTTCTTTCTCTTGTAAACGATGCTCCAATTATTCTTACGAATTATGCCTACCTTTAATTATTCGATATTATTTAATTGTTCTTCTGGCTTCAAAATGGCCATTTTCTTCAGAATAGTAGCAATTTCTACGTCTATTTTCACAATCTCAAGGATGTAGCACTTGATCATCCGTTTTAAGTGCGCAAAAATTGACTCATACTTCTTCTCGTCTTTCGCAACGATGTAGAACAAGGAGATCCAGTCATATGGGTTCATGAATGGCAAGTCTGCCAAAGTGAATTCATGCACACCATAATTAGTACCTTTGAATCCATTGAACTGTATATTCAGAAAATCTTTAGTTTGAACTAGCATTCGAACCTTCAAACCCATAATTCTCTTCAAGCTCCAAGTCTCGTACTGTGGTTTAGCATACTTCAAGTAAAATGAAAAGAGCTTTCGATTTACTAAACCATCAGAGATAAAGGATTTTTCAATCTTTATGAAGCATCAAAAGAGAAATGCCCTTGGAGTGATTGGAAAATCAAATTTACATTCCACATCACTGTTTATGTCAAACGAGATTTTTGGCTCTAGCTAGTAGAGATTCGGATCATCTATGGCTTCCTTTTGAATGAGCTTCAGAGACCAAGTTGGAAATAAATATTTTTTTAGTTTCAAGCACAAGTTTCGCATTCTTGGTCTCAACTTCTTCTACCTCAAACTTCTTATTAAGAGCATTGAGCTCATAAAGTTCTTTGTTTTGTTTCTCCATTATGATCCTTTCAGATTTGGTCATCATCAGATTTTCATCATTTTCATCTTTTAAAATGCCTTTACCTTTTCCTTTTCCTAAACAGGAAGCTTTATTATCTTTCCGATCAGTTTCCTTCTTGATCTTTTCTTCTTCCTCTCCCCCTTTTTTCATAGAAGCCCCGCTTCCCAAAACACTGAGTATCAGATTAAGCATTGCAAATATTAGCTGAAGCTTTTCAAAGAGAGATAGTGAAGGACGAATCATGAGTTTCAATGATCCTTAGCAAGTAGTGGTTGATTTCAGAAATGCACCCTTCAACCAAATATCACCCTTCTTCAAGGTTGGCATTGGACTGTGTAGCATTCTTCAACTTTTCAGAATGAACCTTAGTCTTCTGAGTTCTCTCAGCTAATTCATCCATAATCTTGTTTTCAATTGCCAAGTCTTCTCGTAGCTTCTCAATCTTTGAAATAATGGAGGAAGTGAATTCAACATTCTCAATCTTGATGTCTGAATGAATAAGAGATACCCAATTTCTCAGCTTTTAAAGAGGTGAGAAATCCTTCGATCACCTTATTCATATCAATTGTGTTTTTATCAGAGGAGGTTCGGAAATCATGCATCAAATCTCTCTCACTTCTTGATGTATTTTTTCAACTTTTGCAGTCGTTTCAGAAATCGTCTTTTCGGAAGCTTGGATGGCCTTGGTCGCTTCTTCAAGGACTTTGGCATTTAATGATGTGAGCATATCTATAGTGGATTTATGAGATATCAACGTGTATTCCCACTTGGACGAAGATGATGAGGTAGAAGACTCCAAGATAGAATCCAACTTTTCATTCAGCTGCTTGAACTGCCCTTTGGTCATTGGAGCATCATCGTCTTCGCTGTTGACGTTGATTATGAACGGACTAAAGATAAAAAAGTGAATGCTTCTTGATCATCTCTAAACAAGATCTCTTCATCCTCATTGAAAAGAGAAGTAGTGGATGTTCCTTATCTAGAAGTCACACCGATATTGACATTTGCCCCTGCATCAGATGCATTGACAGAAATGCCCAAAGTCCTAGTCTGCTCCGAAACGGATTTGATGATCGGAACCTCCGTTGGAGTAGTTACTAATGATGTAGTAGGAGTGGTTGGATCAGTAAACATAGGTGAGGATAGAGGGATTGACATCCGGGGAAGAGAAATTACAACATAACTCATTTGTGGTAGAGTATGGATATATGAAATCAGAATTATAGAGGTGATTGGTGAGGTTTATGGGGTAACAGGTAGGGGTGGTGGAGTAGTAGTGAGGTTCAGAATTGGTTCTTGGAGAATAGTATCAAAAATATCAAAAGAGGGAATGGAGGAAGTCGATGGAGAAGATACCTTCGGAATATTTTCTGTAGGAGTGGATTCTGAAGATGCAGCAGTATCTTCCACTTCATTTACAAGTGTGTCATCCTCTTGAGGTTCAGTTACAGTACGCTCATAGGATTCCTCTTGGAGAACCGGAGATGGAGATCTCGGTATCTCAGCATACTTCCTTTTCTTATTGGGAGCTTTAACAATTTCCGAAGGAGCAACTTTTGCTTTCCTTTTACCTCCACTCTTCGGTTTGTTACTTTCATCAATCAATTGTCATAGATCAGCTTGCATTGGTCAAAAACCAGAAGATGGTAACTTCCGATACTCTCTCACAATAGCATTGTTAAGAGGAATCTTTTCCAACATTTCCTATGGAATGGACCCAATAAAATTGAAGTTTCTAGGATCCGACATCACAAATGTTGACGTTTGGAGTGTTGGAATTTCTGACTTTAAGGAATCTTTCATCAGAGGGAATTTGGAATAAACAAGAGCCCGGTTGACCACTATTGACAAGAATTGAGCACATGATATTTCGGTGTTTCGAGTAGAGGAAATGGTACTTTGCATGAGCTGAGCCCACAGAACTGAACCATAGTCAAGACTGACGCCATGGTATAATCCATAGATAAGAGTGTAGGATAATTTTCTTGCACTATCTGCACTCTATGAGAAACTGTTGAATAGCAAAGTGAACAACCATTCCATATTGGAGGAAGGAAGGGTTTCCTGAACTTAAATAGCAGTGAAATGTCTCCATTGTATCCCATTTGATAGAAAATCTCAATTAGGGAGGTGGTTGGAATCGACTCTTGTAACATTTCGTTTACAATAGAGTAATTAAATAATAAACCCGAAACCCCAAGATGTAATTTTCATTATTATTTTATAGTATTATAGCCAAAATCAAATAATAATTAGCAGCGTGTTGGTTTCGGGGAGCCAAATGACAATATTTGAATCTTCGGGGGGTTAAAGTGTAATTCCGAGATTTATTTTGTAAAGATTTTCAGAAGTCAGGCGGTGTTTGTTATCGTTGGGACATAATATGAAAGGATTTACGAAAGCATGGGTTAAAGAGTAAATTCTAGACCCAAGTTGAAAAGGTTTTGTAAAGGAGGGGCCATTTGGTAACATTTGGACTTAAGTTGAAATAAAAAGGAGAAGGAGGGACCATTTGCATCGTTATGGGATGAAGTTTATATGAGTCGGGTATATAGCCGTCCCCCACCCCTCCCCCCGATAACCTTAACCCTAGTAGTGTTTGTAGCAGCCACCTTATACCTCCCTTCACACTAGCTGCCACCCTCCTTCCAATGCTCTTCGGTGCCGCTACTCCCTGCTGTTGAAGTCGTAAACCACTGCTGAAGCTGCTACCGCCGGCAAAAACGAGGACCACCGGGATGGAGCCATTGAATACCACTGGCGAAACTGCGAACGTCCACTGCTACCCCTCTCTCGTTATCTTCTTCTTCTGTTCGCCGGCATGACGCAAAGACCGCTAAGGAGTATGCCGTCCACCGTTGTTTTCATTGTGACTCGCCGCCGCCATAAGCTCCGCTGTTTCCCACCATTCTGTGTCGTTGCCGCTGCCGTATGCCACCAGGTGGGTGGCTGGGTTCATTTTACGAGTAGGATATGTGTATGTGTGTGTTCTGTTGTTAGTATGTGTTGTGGGTGTGGCTATCTTGGCCAAATTTCACGAGAAAAGCCACCACCACTGCCGTGAGGTGGTGGCTGCCACTCTCTACCACCGCCTGTCGCCACATGGGTGGTTGTAAGTGTGTTTATTTTTGTATATTTGTTGTATGTATGTTGTACCATTTTATCTTGGCCAGAATAATCAAGGAAAAACCCATAACCTCCACCGTGAGGTGGTGTCTGTCGCCACCAGCCGCTGCATTTGGTGGCGGTGTGCACCGTGTGATTGGATTGTTAGTTTAGATGTTTGGACATATTTAGCCTAAAATCTTAACCACCACCGTGAGATTGGATTGTTAGTTTAGCTGTCGCCGTGAGCCACCGTTAACCGCCACTACCCTAGGTGGTAGTGGGTGGTGCCCAACTTATTTAACCCAAATTGACCTAATGAAGCCTTAATTGACCTAAAAACCTAACCATTTGACTAATGGGTACGCGATTGGGTTGGAAACCCTAATTAGGGTTTAGAAAACCCTAATTTTGGATTTGTTGGTTTGGACTTATCGGGACGCGCGTTTTGGGCCATTGGAATTGAGTTATGAATTACACGAGATCACATTGTATGATTTACCTAGTAGAATGATGGACTTAATGGATTAAGTCTTTAATGGGTTAAGTGTTAAGTAAGAACATTTAACCCAAATCATCATTTTATGTGAAAACCCTAATTTTGCTTGGGCCTTGAGTTGGGACTTTTGTTTGGCTTTGGTGATTGGGCTATTGATGGAAGTATTTCCTCATATTGACAACTACAAGGATCCTGTTACAATTCAAATAACGATCTAAGATACAATTACCACAAAATCGGAGTGCAAGAAACAGACATTCCAAAGACGACATTCCGGACTCGGTATAGTCACCACAAGTTTATGGTTATACCATTCGGACTGAGCAACGGCACCATAAGAAGTATGCCAATTATTAGGGCTTACATGCTTCTATCATATATTCTCCAAGGAGTTCTCAAAATTATCCAAGCCTCTCACTGCACTAACCTAGATAGACAAAAAGTTTGATTAGGGAGACAATCAAGAATCTACCTTTCGAAAATTAAAGTTGTTGTTGTGCAGTGTACCAGTTTTGTCTCTCTTAGAAGGAACAAAAGACTTTGTAGTGTTCTGCGATGCCTCTCATTAAGGGTCGGGATGTTTGTTGATGCAAAAGAATAAAGTCATTGTATATGCATCCATACAACTTAATCTAAACAAGACCAAGTACACTACCCCCGACTTAGAGTTGGGAGTTATAGTGTTTGCATTAAAGATTTTGAGGCACTACCTCTATGGAATGAAAATGTATCGAATTGATAAATGATTATGAATATGAAATCAGCATTCATCCTGGTAAAGAAAATGTCGTAGAAGATGCTTTAAGTAAGAAAGAGCAGGTAAAGCCATTTCGTGAAAAAGCTCTAACCCTAACTCTTCACTCCAATCTCACCACCCGAATTCGAGATGTTTAACTAGAACTACTTAAACCTTAGAATATCATGGAAGAAAAACCTGTGAGGTATGGACAAAAAGTTCAACCTCAAGGAAGACGGAACGCGATATTTCATGAACTGAATTTGGACCCTAAAGTTTGGTCAAGTCAGGATTCTAGTCTTAAATAAAGCTCATAAATCGAGATATTTGGTACATATTGAATTAGACAAGATGTATCTCGATATTAAAAAGTTGTATTAGTGGTCCAACAACGAAGGTAGAGATCGCCACCTACAACAGTAAGTGCTTGACTAACTCTAAAGTCAAAGTAGAGTTCTAGAAGCCATTTGGCCTACCACAACAACCGCCAATCCTAGAATGAAAGCTGGGATAAATTACCATGGACTTTATAATGAAGATGCCAAGAATTTCAAGCGGTTATGACACCATTTGAGTAGTAGTTAACCATTTGAGCAAGTCTACTCATTTCCTAGCCATCAAAGAAAATGACAAGATAGAGAAACTCACCAAGACCCATAACGAGGCAATAGCCAGACTACATTGTGTGCCAATACCTATTGTCTCAGAACTTGATAATAGATTCACTTCCATATTTTGGAAATCATTGAAAAGGTTCCTAGGAACCAAACTCAACATGAATACTTCATATCATCCTCAAACGGATGGACAAAGTGAAGGAACCATAAAAACTTTAGAATACATACCCCGTGCTTGGGTGATGTACTTCAACAAATAATGGGATACTGACTCACCACTTGTTGA